ACAGCCTTGGTGACCTTCTCAGGCTGGGATACATACAGGCCCACTTATTTTCCTATGCTACTGGCCAACATTTCACCGAAGCCACACCTGAGGAAGACATTAAGTCCACACATAACCAACAATCATGCCTGATCCCAGACAAGAAAATCTCCTTCAGGCTACTAACCAGCCCCAGGAGGCTGTTCCCAGCCCACAGATGAGCACCCCAGAGGCAAAGGCTAGGACCTCTCAGGGTAAGGAGCTTGGTATGGTGGTATGGCCGGGATCTAGACACAGACTTACCCAATGGAGGGCCCCATATACTCATCCCCCCTAGCCTGCTGTGGCTCATGTTTAGAATTCACTACATCTTTACCACCTTCAACTATGTAAATGCCATCTGTGGGAAGGGAGCTTGGTCATGATCAGTAATAAGAGCCAGGGATATAACTGCAACAAAACAACAACAAAAATCACACAGAGCGGCAACATGAGGGGCAGGTGACCAGCCATCATCACAGAGAGACAAGAAGAGGGCTACCTGCTCTCTCTGGTCCCAGGGAAGTCACGTGTGAATGAGCAGTCAGTGAGGGATGTAGCCCACTGAAAAAGACATGGCTTAGGGGACCAAGTCAGGGGACAGGAGCTGTCCTGCAGGTTCCAAAAGCAGTGTTCGGGCAGTAGGGGGTAAAGAGAGGCAGACTGAGATGTGGGGGACAGGGAGAGGGAAGCAGGAAGGACCATGGGGGTGAAACACTGGGGAGCCCTGAAAGGTGGCCCTGGGGTGGGGCTAGCAACAGGATCAGTCAATCGCACTACCCAAGAGACATGGGAATAAAGAGGCAGGCGAGACCCACAAGACTGTATGGGATTCAGCAGAAGAGCCAATCTAACCTCTTAGACCACCCAGGAGAGCAAACCATCGTGGCTGTCCCTCATCATCCACAGGGATACGGGAGGGCGGATGCCTCACCCACACACAAACATGCAGGTGTGCACACTTGGTAATCTGAAGTACAATGCCAATGAGGGTTAAAAGTCGACACACTGTATTGCCTAGTGAATGAGAGGGGGAAAAAAAGTATCTATGCACCTGCTAAGACCTCTGGCCTAAACACAAGCCAGCAACAAAGTAACCTTGAAAACTCCAGTCTACAGCTGTTGACACCAGTATGCAGAACCCAAGGCTACAGAGGTCCAACTGTAATCACAACAGAAAAGAGCAGAGGAAGCACCTCTACTGCCGTCCCATCCAGTCGTGTTCCACCCTACCCCACCCTGCCCGATCCCACCAGCTTTTCGGTGGGATCTTTTAGAAGTCTGGCGTGATGGCGCACACCTGTAATCCCAGCACTCAGGCAGGCAAAGGCTGGCAGGTCTCTGTGAGTTTGAGGCCAGCCTGGGCTACAAAGCTAAGTCCAGGATAGCCAAGGCTACACAGAGAAACCCTGTCTTAAAAAAAAAAAAGGAAAACAAAACAAAACAAACAAACAACAAAAAACTGAATAGTGGGGGCTGGAGAGATGGCCCAGTGGTTAAAAGCACTAGCTGCTCTTCCAGAGGACCGGGGTTCAATTCCCAGCACCCACATGGCAGCTCACTACTGTCTGTAATTCCAGGATCCAAAACCCTCACATAGACAAATATGCAGGCAAAACACCAATGTACATTAAAACAAAACAAAACAAAACAACAACCTGAATAGTGGCTGTTTACCATTCCAGGCCAATCCAAAACAGAGAAATCTCTTCCTCACTCCTCTGCCTCAAACGAAACTACCTGACTCATCCACTCCACATTTCCACATTTGTTTTGCTTTTCTAGGAGAGGCTTAGAGAGAGAGAGAGAGAGAGAGAGAGAGAGAGAGAGAGAAGAGCTGAAAATGCAAATGAGCAGTGTCTGTGAAAGAGGAGCAGTCAAAGGTCAACCTGGACACAGAACTTCCTTGTTAGAAAGCAGGATGGTGTCCTTTGCCTGGAAGGGGTGGGGTGGTGGGGGTAAACCATTAAGGTGAGTCACGAAGCCTGAAAGGAAGCCTAAGAAGACAAGCAGAAGCCAGCACCCCCCACACCCCCTTGAGAACCCAGGACCCCACGCCAACTGGGGCTCTCCCTATGGCCACGGCAGCTTAGGGATCCTGTTGTGAAAAAAGCCCAGCTCAGGTTGGATGGATCTGACATCACAAGAGCCCCTGCCTCGAAGCCACGGGGAGTTCTGGGTTCTGGTCCTGGAACTGCCTTAAGCCCTGCAGTCAGGTCCCTCATCTGTTCGTCCAAAACAACTGACTCATCTGGGCAGCCCACCTGGACTCTAGGGGGCCCCTGTGTTATCAGCCTGGAGGTACAAGCCTTGAGTGAGTGTGTGTGTGTGTGTGTGTGTGTGTGTGTGTACACATGCGCACACCTCTGTGTTTCTCTCTTTCTGTGTGTGTCCATATCTATGTTTCTTTGTGTATCTGTGTGTCTGAGTGTGTGTATGTGTCTGTCTGTTTCTGTGTCTCTGTATCTATGTTCGTTCGTTCGTTCCTTTCTGTGTATGTGTCTGTGTTTGTCTGTTTCTGTGTGTGTGTGTGTTTCTGTCTGTGTGTCTTTATCTATATTTGATCCTTTGAGAGTGTGGGTCTGTGTTTGTCTGTTTCTGTCTGTGTGTGTCTGTATCTATGTTTGTTCCTGTGTGTGTGTCTGTCTGCTTGTGTTTTTAAGTGGTATCTTGTGATCAGTGGTATCTGGCTGCCCTTGAACTCTGTAGGCTTCAGAGATCCTTTTGCCCAGCACTAAAACTGGGGTGGCAACTTTAGAGGATGACAGCCTGCACCACCATGCATAGACACTTCACTCTGCAGAGCATTTCAGGCAGGAAACTTGAGCTTCAGATGGTCACCTGGAACATAAAGGTGTCGAAGACCAAGATACCAACTCCCCTCCTGTGTCGCCCCTGGAGCACCGAACCAGGCAGCTTTTTCCTTTTATTAGTGAGAGAGGACCACAGACACAGTTTCTTATCCCAGCTCTTTCTAAGTTCTTGGTTACAAACATCTTCAAGCATTATGTATTCTGTTAATTAAGGGCAATTAAAGACAAAGCTAGCTCAATGCTCTCCCTGGCCCAGTGCCCAGAGAGGAAGGGACGGGTGGAGGGTAGAAGGAATTCTGACCCCACAGAAGGGTCAGAGGAGCAGGGCACAGGAAGCTCAGAGGCTCTGCGGGCCCCATGGACTCGCCGAGTTCCCCTCCCAGTTCCAGGCCTGCACCCAACATCCAGATTCCACAGGCCTTCCGCCTACACACACACATGCTTTGCAGCAAAAGGCAGCCCATGACTGCCCCCACCAGTCAGTGTCCCGGCCCTGGGGCCTTAACCTGGGCCACAAGCTGCCCAAAACCAAGGCTGGAAGAGTCATGTGGTCCTTTGCTCAGCCTAACATGATGGACAAGGATCTGGCAACTCTAACAGCTCTCACTTTGATTTTTCCCCACCCATGTCATCCTCACAGACAATATGCGCCCTGATCCTTTCACTCAAACACAGGAAGGCCCAAAGGCAGGCCAGACATGTTTCTAACGCTTTTGCAGGAGTCTGAGAACAGCACAGGAGGACAGAACTAAGCATCGTGCTGAAAGGCCGATCCTCAGACCCTGCCTTTCTTTTACAATTGCTGGTCTGATCCCCCCCTCAACACACACAATAAAACAGGCTTTTCTTTGTAAAGAACATCCCCGAGGGGCGGGCTCAGCAGTTAAGAGCGCTTGCTGCCCCTGAAGACTACCCTGGGTTCAGGTCCCAGCACTCACATGACGGCTCACAGCAATCCATAGGCATGACTGTAGTGTACACACATGCAGATTAAACATTTATACACGTAAAATAAATAAACCTTGTTAAAAAAAAAAAAAAACTCCGAAAGTTTGTTTACTGCATTTACATATGTATATTCAGTGGTTGGTAAAGACTTCAGATGGGCAGACTGGGTGGCAGTGGCTTTGATCTCAGAGCTTGGGAGGCAGAGGCAGGTGGATCTCTGAGTTCGAGGTCAGCCTGGTCTACAGAATAAGGTCCAGGACAGAGAAGGTTACACAGAGAAACTCTGTTTTGAAAAACAAAACCAAACAAACAAAAAGAAGCCATGTTCTGACTTCAAAAGCAGCAGCTTTGTCAAAAGCACAATGAAAACAGAGGCCACAGTATAGTGATTATTATTAAAAACAAACAGGAACTTTTGCAAGAAAATATATCAGAGGCGACGGGAGGGCTAAGCTGGCAAAGATGTTCAGTCCATGTGACCCACATGGGAAAAGAAAAAAAAGATTGCTCCAAATTATTCTCTGATACACACCACACACACACACACACACTCAACCAAAAAAAAAAAAAAAAAAAAGGAAGGACAGTTATATGCTTTCTTTTCCAAATCACATCTCATGTTAAGGCAGTTGCAGTGCTGATGTTATCTGCTGGTAGAGCATTTGCTTAGCATGCTTGAGGCTGGGTGTGGGGCCCACAGCACTTCCCCCACCTAAAGCAGTGACCAGCTAAACACCTGTAATTCTTACTTATTTTTTCATTTATTATCATGCTGTGGATGGACCCAAGGCCTTATGCATGATGGGAAAGAGCTTTGTCACTGAGCCATATCCCCGGCCTTTTTTTCTCCTCTAAAATGCAGTCTTTAAAAAAAAAAAAAAAAAAAAAAGTAGTCTCACTATGTAGTCCAGGCTGGCCTTAGAAACCGGCAATCCTCCTGCCTCCATCAACTGCTGGAATTACAGGTATGTACTACAACAAGTAATTCAGACAGCAGTATCTCACCGCGTAGCCCTGGCTGGCCTCGAACTCGCTAAGTAGGCCAGGTTGGCCTCTAACTCAGAGAGACGCGTCTCCCTCCCAAGTTCTGAGAGCACAGGCTGCAGCACCCTCCCTGGCCCCCGTGAAGGCTTTCACACAGGAAAAACCGCCAGCGCTTTGCACGTGCTGCTCCTTACCTGCCTGTGAGACCTAAGATAAAAAACGGGCAAGTGGGCTCACCTGAGATTCAGCTTGCGGTCTTCATCGCTGCCAGCCTCCAACTAGAGAGAGAGAGAGAGAGAGAGAGAGAGAGAGAGAGAGAGGATGTGACCCCACAGGTGCCACTACCAGCCCTGACAGCAGGCTCCCGGGGTGCCTGGGAAAAATAAAGGCACCCAGGAAAGGAGGCTGTTGGACACACCCCTGCCCTCTCCTGGCCAACCCGATGTGTTGTCTCTGAGTCATACCCACCACACGTTTTTCGGGGTTCCAAGTGTTTACACTCATCCCTGCCACAGTGTGAAGAGGGCAACGCCTGGGGGCTGAGCCCCTATGAGGCAGCCTCAACCAACACTTTCTTCCAGCCCTCGCTCTCAGCCCAACACGCTGGCTCTGGGCCTTATTTTGGTTTTGCTTTTAAGGGAAACAGGGTTATGTCTTAGGAAAATCTATTGCTCTGTGGAGCCAGGCACTAGCAAACCCAAGGAATACCATCTAAAAACCCCATTCCAAAGCCGGGCCGCACACCTGTCGCCTTAGCTACTAAACAGGCTGAGGCAGGGGATTTCGTGAGCTGAGGGTTTGAGAGCAGCCCAGACAACTTGGCAAGCAGGCCTGTAACCATCCTTCCCCCCCTAACCCCCAACCCCCAGCGAGGGGCGGGGAGCCATTCCAGGCAAGTCTTTGGCCACAGAAGGTAGCCAGGCATTGAATTCTAAATGTATACATCTTAAACCCCATCACCTCCCCCCCCCCCTTTTGGGAGAAAACACACAATGAGAAGACACAGGGCTGCCCAGGGAGACTTGGTGTGTTTTAAGTGCCCAGTGTATTGGGGAAAACTAGGGGCAGTGTGATGGCCGGGACAGAAATAAGACTGACTTGTCCCCATCCAGCCAGAGGTCAAAGGCAACAGGAAATGGGTCCACAGCTAAGGCAGCAGGGGAGCCCAGCAGTAACGGATACATCAAGAGGCGGCAATTTCAAGCAAAAGTGAGTATTTCATAAAGCCCTGGCATCCCATCTTATATGAAGATTTGTGTACAACTTTAAGGACGCACACACTGGGAACAGACCACGTTTACTCTTGGGCTGTGAGGGAGAAGAGGAAATCAGGGAAGGCTCTACACACCACCCCGCCATGCCACACGGAAGCAGACTAGCAGCAATCAACACACATAAGCAATCGCTCAACAAGGGCCCCTGGGGCATTTCTGGAGGGTGCTATTGGCATCTCGGGGGCGGAGCTCAGGATGCCGCTAGGAGTGAAGGCTGTTCCCAAGTCTCTCTCCAGATACTTTGTGTGGAGAGACACTTAATGTCTTTCCTGCCTGTGCCCAGGAAAGAGATGCTGCACAATTGTCAAAACAATGTTACTATCCACTCCGGGGAAAGGCTGATGGATCTATTTCTTAGCTCCTCTTGTTCTCATAAAGGAGTTCAGATAAGGTTAACAAGAAAAACAAGCACGAGATAATTAAAGATCCAGAAAGAAAGGAGTAGAGAGATGACAAAATTAGAGGACAGGATTGCTGTTGGGCCAAGGGCTGTGATTTCTCTTGGTTTCCCAGGCTTCAGAGTGAGACTAGCTGTGTCAGGAAACCACCTCGTCCCTGACTCATAAGAGAAGTGCATTTTGATAAGTGACTGGCAGAAAGGGGAAACGGGCTCCACAACCATTTATTTCTCAGTCACACCCAGAGGTTTTCCATTGAAAGGTCAGGAATGCCAGAGAACCATCCCTAGGAAGTAATCCAGGCCTCTCTGATGAGCTGACTAGGAGGGAGCCAAGCGGAGGAAGGGCAGGCCAGAGGCACAGACAACCTGGACCCAGGTGTCCAAGCTCAAGGCATACCTGCCATGCTTCTGCCCTTGGCACATCTGGATGGCAGCCTGGCTATCTTGGGAACATCCCAGCCTGTGCTATTGCTGGAGACAAATGCCACCGGTGTACTGAAGTTTAAAGAAAGGCCATCTGGGATTTTTGGGTTTTTTGCTTCATTTTGTGTTTTTGTATGTATTTGCATGTGTAAGTGGTGTGTGCAAGAACATATATGTGTATGTGTGTGTGTAAATGCTGGAGACTATGTCAGTGTCTTCTGTACTGAGTAAGGGTACCCATCCTTAATTCCACTAGTCTGGCCATACAGCCTGTTCTGGGGATTTCCTGTCTCTATGTTTCACATCCCTGAGCTATAGAAACCAGGTGGGCTCTATTTTCTGTTTCCTTTTGGTTTGTTTTTTTGTTTTTTTCGAGACGGTTTCACTGTGTACCCCTGACTGTCCTGGAACTCACTCTGTAGACCAGGCTGGCCTCAAACTCAGAGATCCCCCTGCCTCTGCCTCCCGAGTGCCGGGATTATAGACGTGCGCCACCACTGCCCCGCCAAAAATTGTCTTATACGATAATTTAAAACGAAAACTGAGGAGGGACCGCACACAGCTCAGCGGCTAAATGCAGCTGCTGCTCTTCTAGAGGACCGAAAAGCGGATGCCAGCACCCACAAACTGTAGCTCACAACCCCCTGGAACCCTGGCTCCACCGAATGCGACAGCCTCTTCTGTTCTCTGTGGGCACCTGCACTCACACGCACATACCCATAAACAGACAAGACACACACACACACACACACACTTTAAAATATAATTTTCAAAATATGTGAGCTGGGGACAGGGTGCAGTAGCTGGCACACCCAAGGCTCTGGTTCAATGCTCAGCAATAATAATAATAATAATAATAATAATAATAATAATAATAATAATAATAATAA